CATCCACCTTGTTTTGATATTTTTATACCTCTACAGGGGCAATTACATTGGTACCTAATAGAATGGATCAGGATGAGTTGGTTAAATTTTATTTTCACTTGGGATTAAGCCACAAGGAATTGATGGCTGTGCTAACATTGAACCATAATATAACAGTCAGTGGTGAAAGCACCTTGAAAAGACATCTCAGAAATCTTGGACTGTATAGAAGAAAATATTTAACAGATCTTACTGAAGTAATTCAGTTCATTTCGTACTATTCGTACTAATACTGGTTATAAGAGGGTTAGAATTACTGCGAGTTGTAAGTTGCAGTGATTCGAATTGCTGCTAGTTGTATGTTGCATTATTTCGAATTACTGCTAGTTATAAGGTGCAGTGATTCAAATTACTGCAAGTTGCATGTTGCAGTATTTCGAATTACTGGAAGTTGTAAGTTGCAGTAATTCAATTACTGCAAGTTGTATGTTGCAGTATTTTGAATTATTGCAAGTTGTAAGTTGCAGTAATTGAATTACTGCATGTTACAAGTTGCAATGATTAGATATTTTTTTATTTTCGATGACCCTTCTACTCTTTGGTACAGACCATAGCACAGTTGCCATGTGTTAAAATACCATTGGGAACTTCAGAAATATTAGTTATTCGATCATTCATAAATTCTCAATTGAGTATTGGTAATATTCTTAATTAGCTTTAAAACTTTAATTGTCTCAAAATGTTCCCTTATGATTTGTGGCTTGATGCTTATAATAAATTTGTGCAAATAATAATTACATAAATTCACACTAGAGGACATTTTAATCGGTGAACGTGACAACGCCGCGCACGACTTGCGGGCGTGGTTTCGTGAGTTCTCAGCATTCAGCACAATGTTGCCAAGTCTCCAACATTCACATGATTAATATTTTCTTATGGAGAATATTTGGACATGCTGGTTGCTCGAAAGAGTCAAGAATGAACTATGATGTCGTGAGTTCCTCCTATTATGTTTTATTCAACGACAGGGCTCAAACATCTTTTTGATAACTTGATTATAATTGGTGACTCGGACAACCTTGCTTTAAGAGTGGAAATGAAAGATTATCTGACAAATAACGATACAGCAAAAAAACTGACGTCCCCATTTATTCCACGTATCGCCAAATGGCGGCCATGACGTTATGTTTGAAATGAGCTCTGAAATTCAACAATTTAAAATAACGCATAGACTTAAAAAAGCGTGAGTAGTGTTGCAAAAATTAATTTAGGTTCCTAACGACATAGTGGAGTAATTGAATGGCAATAATTCATTATCAGTCCACTCGCCCATTGATATTTTTTTGTTATTTTTGTAGTATCACGTTAGTCAAAATAAAGTGTGATATATCGTTGAATTTAGAATTGTTTGTACTTCAGAAATCAATGAAAAAATGTACATGGTGTAACTTGAATAATTGAAGTTGGAGGTGGCTTTTCAGGAGTAGTTTCACAGAAGTTGTCTTTGCCACAACGGCTTCAAAGTCATATGGATTTGACAAAAGTGCAATTTTTCTCCCAAGCATCATAACTGAGATATTGGCAGTATGGAAAAATCTGGGAAACCCGGTATATGGTACGAAACGAAGCCCACAACGAGGAGAAACACGATCTAGCTTTTAGAGCCATCTTGTGGCAAAAGTACAAAGGTGTATAAGTAGATTGTTTAAACAATCATACTCTGCGAATGAGTTGAACAAATACCCCTAGGTCTGTGCTACAGAGACCATTTTAGTGTATGGTGCTAAGGAAACAAGTTAATTCTGAATACTTCCAGATAAATATCTGTCAATAATGAAGCAAAATGTCAAATTCATTTCCACAAGTGTTCAATAAAATAAACAACAATGGTTGATGAAGGGAGAAATACAACTACTTCTCTGGCTGATGCTAGAGTTCCTTAATGTACAGGGTCTTCACGTATATTTTGAACCCCCCTTATTTATCATCGAATTTTTTTTCCAAAGAACAGACTTTTATAATTTTTCCTGTAGATTTTGAATATGTTAACAGAAAAACAATTGAACATCTCAAAAAAAGTTATGGGCAAGATGTATAAATTTTTAAATGGAACACCCTGTATTTTATTGCAGTTTTAGATTCTCCCTGAAGAGCTGATTTCATCGATCTATCACATTTGGGGTCTAGCTGAAATGATTACAGAGATATAGGGTGTGAAAAATTGAGATTTTTTTTAACTTCATAAATTTTTTGTGTCGAAACTATCCATTACTGGCCAAAGCGGTTTTCATGTCCCTATCTCAACTTCTGATTTACTATCTACTGACATTAATTGGAACACATACAGGGTGATCAGAATTCTGAATTTTGAACCACCCAATTTCTAGTATAATTTCAGGTTATGTTATGAATTTCATGAATGGAATGATGACATTGAATGTAGTAATCAAATGAATATTCAAGTCTTGAAATTTGCACAGAGAATCTGATTGGAGTATTTCAATTTCCAGTAGAAGCTGATTCAAGTTTAGTTGAAAAGTAAATCTTTTTTTATTTCCAATAATAGGTATATATTACGAACGATGGAAGCTCATCATATTCACAATTACATACAGGGTGTCCCATAAGTAATGGATCAAAAGAAGTGGGATAGTGGGGGGGCTCATTTGTAATCAAACTAACGGTATATGTTTTTATAAAATTGTTGATGGTTATTAAGTTATCAAATTTTTTTGGAAAATGCAACCCACCTGAAAAAAATTAAAAACAAAAAGGGTGTTTTGAATAACCACATGTTATACTATTTCGGAATCTGTATCAAATGGGCAACTTTTTCTTATCTTTGTGGGGTAGTTTTTAAATCTGCCAGAGGCATTTGAAAATCGACTTAAATATTTCATTCGATAACAAAACTCAAGGAAAACAAAATTTTTCTCAGGTTATTTATAAGAAGTAATACATGTCATAAAATTATTTCTGGGGAAAGGATCATCCATGTGGATGAAATTTGTGGAAGAAGAAATCACAAGTGTGATATAGTTTTATTGTTATTAATTCTTTTTATAGGAATGAAAAAACATTAATAATTTTCGAACCATCAACAATTTGATAACATATACGGTTCGTTTGATTGGAAATGACCCCCCCCCCCCCTACCACCCCTACTGTATAGGTATCATCTTGATGATTTGTTCATGAAATTGAAATAAATACATTTTCAATGAACAACCACACAAAATCACAGATTCATTCGAAGTATTCAATCAAATGGATATTCGCATGGTATAACATGAAGTTATAGTCATATTGTAGCCATCTTGTGGCAAAGCTCTAAGGTAGGATACAGATATCGCGACACACACTGTATGGCGCTGCCATCTATAGTCACACGTTCACACTGTTCATCCTAGATCTCTTAGTTATGAGATTTAGCAGTCAAATGGATATTCTTTCTTTCCCCGGCATATTATTCCATTGCAGCTTGAAAGAATCCGTTTTTGATTGAGTAATTTTTGTATTGTAATTTTCTAACATCGTCATCAATAACCTCTTCCACCCCTTTTTCATTTTGCGAAACCTTGGATATAATTTGTCTGTGATCGATGTAATATATGTTAGGCTCAATTTGAACCAACCTTCGAAGATTATTACTGGATTATTAGAATCTTTCGATGTCCACACTCAACAGTAAACAAATTTGACATTTTACATTTTGTAACAAACAAGTGACATGAAACAACAAATTTGGTCACAGAACACTGAAATTATACACGGTTGCCAAGTGTAAGGGCTCCTTCTAGAAGGAATACTCAAGGGAGGTCTATAAAACAAGTTTAACATCAAGTACTCAGGAGTTCTCAAGGAATCCTCAGATAAGGAAGACTTGAGGAGTTCTTGAGGAAACGAATATAAATACGAGCCTGAGTTTTTTTTTATGTTCTGGTTCCCACGAAAAGGAAATATCCTGTAATGTTCAGAGAATCTTCTTGAATTTCTGGAGGTTATATGCCTCGGGGAACACCTCCCTTGGCAATGTGTTCCAGAGCCTCGCTGTTCGTTGGATGAACGAGTCTTTGGAAGGAGATGTTCTGCAGGTCTTCAAAGTGATCACGAAGGGGTGCGAAGCCTCAACTCGACGGGATAACCTCGCGGGGACTCCCAAGGGAGAAACAATTGTTGATATTTCAGAAGAGCACCGTCCATGAAAATATCTATAAAATAGAGCCAGATCGCCAACTTTTCTACGGTATTCCAGAGAAGTGAGTGAGTTTGTGAGCGAGGCATCACCCACGAGACGAATTGCCCTTTTTTTGGACAGAATCCAACAGTTTCAGGGTATGATTGGGTGCTGCACTCCAAATATGGGAATAGTATTCAAGGACAGGTCGCATCTGTGCTTTATAGATCATAAGCAGCTGACTGGAAGTGAAATAGCTCCTGGCCCGAAACAGAAAATCAAGTTTTTGGGACGCACTTGCAGCAAATGATCTCACGTGATTTTTCCAAGAGAGGTTATTGCTGATAGTAATACCAAGCATCAAAATGGATGTCTTCAAAGGTATGGTCACTTCTGACAAGCTTATGTTGGGCACAGTGATATCGGCTTTTCTAGAGAAAATGCATGCTTGTGTTTTGTTTGCACTGACATCAATCAAGTTATTGGATCCCATTCGAGAATTGTTGCCAAGTCCATATTTATGTTGTCAACATTTCTCCCTCGTTCGTTTCTGATTTGTCTGGCTGGTATTGGAGCCTTGGAAGAGAAGGCAGTACGGAGGGTACTATCATCCGCGAAGCTGTGTACTGGAAATGAAGTTGCTTCTAAAAACCACATTCACTTTTGAAAATAAACAAATACACTTCGTTGCATTCACAGGTCGTAAATCGTGAATGTGCGAGGGATTGAATTAGTGCACATATTTGACAAAACTAGTGGAGTGTAAATACGAATTACTGAGTGTGCAACCAAATAGTTTCACCAATGGAAACTGCTATACCAGCAGAAAAAAAAACCAACTGACCTTGTTGGATGACGTTGACCGGATGCCTTATTATCTGTTGTTGCCCAGGTATTTGAGGAGTTTGCTGTTGGGACCACAAATGCTGATTCAGTTGTTGTCTCGGTGCAGCTTGATTTTGTGGCGATGGCTGATTGATGAGGATTTGCTGTCCCATATTGCCTTGCTGTTGGAACTGGGTACGGACTATTTGCTGCGGTAAACTTTGGTTGACTTGTTGATTCATCTGGAGAATACAGTTGTTCATTTGAAAAAACTTATGCATATATTCGTAAGTAATACAGGGTGAGCCATGACTAATCAGCCATAGTCTAATGGCGGATAGAGGAAGTCAAGGTGGGTTGATATACAGTGTGGTCATTTAAGTGTGCAACATATGGGAACCTTTTTAATGAATTGCACAATCAAAATACAGATAGTGCCGAAAGTTGGTGCATGTTCGGTAATCATTTGAGGTGCACTCAGAATGGTTGCAAGCAGAACAGCATACAGGGTAGTTCGATATTTTTAAAAATTATTCAAGAGTAAAGTACCCTTATTTCAGAAAATTCAGTCAAATTTTATTGAGAAAAGTTGTTAACAATTGAAAGTTATGCCTAAATACCAGAGCATGGCCTCCTAAGACATTTTTTAGTTTTTCAATTCTTTTCGTTAATAATTTCCCAATTTGTAATTTTTTTATATTCACAATAACCATTTTTATGGAATAATCATACCAAAATCAGTTGAAATACCTTTGTTCAAATTCAGGAAAATTTGTGCAATCAATTTGGATTTCAACTTTTTTAAGGAATCACAAACTTTATGTTTGTTGCAACGATATTCAGCTTAACTTTAAAATCGCAAATCATATTTTTAGCAATGTAAAACATCATTAGATGAGTAGTTAATGTCACCAAACTGTCTTGATGTTTACTATCAACCCTCATTTGTTTTGTTCCTTGGGTATTCGTGATTATTTTGAATGATATCATGGTTGTCGATTGATATAGTATATAGCTCTTTCATAAACATTTCAAATACAAAATGTCCACATTAAATGAAAGTTTTTGAATATGCAAATTATCATGAATGATGTTTTACCTTGTTAAAAATATGGTTTGCGAAATTTTAAAGTTGAGCTAAATATCGTGGCAACAAACATAAAGTTTGTGATTCCCTAAAAAAATTAAAACCCAAGTTAATTGCACAAATATGCTTGAATTTGAACAAAGGTATGATCAACTGATTTTGTAATGATTAACTTATGAAAGAGTTCAGGGTGAATATCAAAAAAATTACAAATTGGGATATTAATAACGAATAAAAATTAAAAACTCAAATATGTCTCAGGAGGCCATGCTCTGGTATTTTGGCATGACTTTCAATTGTTAACAACTTTTTTCATTAACATTTTTCTGAATTATCTGAAATAAGGGTACTTTACTCTTGAACAATTTTTATATTTTTTGATCTACCAACCATTTCAAATGCACCTAAAATGATGAATGATCACTGAACATGCACCAACTTTTGGCACTATCTGTATTTTGGTTGTGCAATTCATTAAAAAGATTCCCATATGTTGCACACTTAAATGACCACACTGTATATGTGAAGAAATATATTTTGCCTATTCGTAACAGAAATACAGGGCATTATTTGAATTCGGGGCGGATCTTTGGTGAACGATATTTCACGAACGTCTTGAAGTTATCGTCTGAAAATGACCAGCAACTTACCTCTACCAACACTCCATAAAATGGCCTACTACGGAAAAAAATCCAGAGACAGACTTGGAAATTCATTTTCTCCATAAATGTCATAATTTTGACTTTTTGGATCGAATTTTTCAAACTCTCATCAGAATCAGAATGATCAGAAAAAACGCTACAAGTACAGCTTTTCAATTTGTACGGCACACTTTGACCAATTGGTAACAAAAATTCAAACAAAATGCTGATGAATATTTCTTCGATTTCGTCCGGGCACATTCGACTCAAGGTACTGACATCATTTTTTCGCATATTGATATACCAGCAAAGTTGAGAATAGATTATTTTCAATAAAAAAAATCAGGGCCGGAATTGATTTTTGGAAAAAACTACAAAACAATTATAATTTTCGAAAAATCTTTGTCTTTACCTCAACAATATTCAACGAATACTCTCGAAATGTTGTGTTGACTTCAGTCTGATATACCAATCGTTTCATATGTCTCCATAGATAATAGTCTAATACTGTTAGGAGACCTAGAAGGCCAAGAATCAGGTCCGCCACGACCTATCCAGCGATTAGAGAATTTGGTGTATTCTCTAACTTGTATTGAGTACAATGTGGAGGTGCCCCATCCTGTTGAAATGAAATACTTCTTTCAATACAGTCGCTCACATTCATAACATCCTTCTTTTTTAGTGCTTTCTGAATCTTGAGAACACCATCAAACTCACAATTCGCTGATTGAGAGAGTTCACATGCAATGAGATTATATTCAATAGTTCTTCAAAAGTTCCTCTATGTAGTATGAGAAGGCATATACAGGGTGTCCGGAGATAAAACCGACAAAACTCGTGGGGCTATAGGGACTGTCAATATGATTGCAAAATGCCATAAACAGATGTCTAAAACCGCTTCGTTACTGACATACAGAGTGATTTGTGGAGTTTGACAAAAAATTCAATTCGCCATATCAAATACAGAGATTGACCGATTAGATTCAAATTTGGTACACAAATTACACTGAAAGGCATCAACAAGTAGCCCTTTGATCGAAACCAATATCAGGACCGGAATAATATTTTTTCCCTATGTTGAGTTATTGTGAGAATAACTCACCATGTATACTAATAACCAAAATTTCGAACTCAGATTCGGAATCTACGGTAAAAATTGTATAGGAATTTGTTCAAGAATCTTCTGGCACTATCTCAGTTATTCCTTAATTAATTATTATTTCAATTTTTTTCATTCAAAAATCAATTATTGTTGGATAAAGGACCATCAAAATTGGTAATGAAATAAATATTCATGAAACCATAACATGAATGTCGTTATTTTCTTCAATCAGTTCGTAAATTGTAGTAGAATGTAATACTCTCATAGCCCGAAAAAACTGTGTAATAAATTCGTATCAGGAATGGAATGAGGTTTTTTATGATTATATTCCTGTAAGAATGACTGATGCCCAATAGATGGATCGGCCGTGGAGGTTAATTGGCCACCGCGATCCCCTGATCTTACTCTGGTTGATTATTTCCAATAGGGTCATTTGAAATCAGAAGTTTATAATGAAGACATCGTAAATAGAGAAGATTTATTAAAGAAAATTACTGCTGCCTGTGATAGTGTTGGAAGTAACCCTCAAATAATTCGGAAGTCAGCGAATCATCTAATAGCACGCTTTCAAAAATGTACCTACTGATGGAGGGCTCCACTGCGAAAATGATTTGTATTACTGGGTAATGGAAGTTTTTTAAGAATTTATTTGTTTTGTTATGATCATTACAAACAGTTATTGTTCGTTGTGTAATATTTTCAAAAATTCAAATGTCATTAGTGAGTGAATATAATTTACGAAATATTCACTCTAGTTCTTTTTCAACAAGTTCCCATACGATTTTTTTTAGATTTCGAATCTACAATCAGATTATTGATTATTATTGATGTACTAGGTCAGCTAACATGAACAAGAAAAACCTCATTCCAGTCCCGATACGAATTTATTCTTCAGTTTTTTCGGATGATGAGAATATTTAATTTTACTACGATTTACGAAGTGATTGAAGAAAATAACGACATTCATGTCATGGTTTCGTGAATATTTATTATATTACCAATTTTGATGGTACTTTATCCGACAATAATAAGGAATACGCATGATTTTTTGTTTAATCGAAATTATATTCCTTTCTCCTTATAATAACATTGGATATCAATAATTAATCTCAAATTTACTTGTGAAACTAAAAAATTTCATTCAAATGAGGCTAAATATGAAGTCACAGGAAAACGGGTTAGTGGCCATCACTAATATTATGACGTCATAGTATTAGGCCGGACAGCCATAGACTAGCGCGACAGAATGACAAGATTCAGATTGAAAAAAAAAAGAAGAAGAAGAGGTAGGAGAAGAAAACAGTTTTGAACGCCAGAAATTTGAAATTTGAAAATGGAAAATGATAATGTTTATACCAAAAACTGTTTAGTGCCGCAATGCCTTTCATCAACAAAAGTATCACCAGGAAAAATATTCCTTTCATTGCCAGTGGGATCCAGTGATAAAATTAAAGAGAAAAGAAAATTATGGTTGCAAGCCATACATAGAAATGATTCATCCGAGAAAACCAGAGGATTTGTTTGTGAAGACCATTTCGAAGTTCAAGTATGTCCTAGTGAAACCCATTATATATCAAATGATTATGTTCTTCATGTTATTAGGAGAATAATATAATATGTGATTTCGTTTTCAGCTTGAAGAAGATATGGAAAACTATATGAGATGTAAATTGATAGGTGGTAATATAGGTATATTTGAAACAACATGCAAAAAGAAGTCCTGTTTGATCATTCTTATTGTAGATATTTGCTTATTATTCAGTTATTATTATTCAGAATATTGAGATCATATAATTGAGATAGATTATAGAAACTACAAGCTCAGATAATCATAACCTCACTTTCTCTTCTTATATTATTTTCAATCTTTCGGACATGAATGTTTGAGATGACAAATAAAAACAGCAACATCCAGTCGGAAATCATCGCTGCAGTTCGGCTGTTGGTCGGAAAGTTGCAAATATTATGATTTTCAATCAGAAATTATTAAATATTTGGTGCTCAATAATGTTGTTCGGATGTATAATTCGACATCTATACATATGAGTAATGGAACAAAAATATATTCCAGTGTGAAATTTTCACACGCGTATACCCTATTGATTTTTGGATGAAAAAAATTAAAATAATATTTAATTACGAAATAACCGAGATAGTGCCAGAAGATTCCTCAACAAATTTCTATTCGATTTTCACCGTAGATTTCGAATCTGAGTTCAAATTTTTGGTTATTATCATACAGGGTGAGTTATTCTCACAATATCTCAACATAGGAAAAAAATATTACTCCGGTCCTGATATTCGTTTCGATCAAAGGGCTACTTGTTGATGCCTCTCAGTGTAATTCGTGTACCAAAATTGAATCTAATCGGTTAATCCCTGTATTTGATATGGCGGATTGAATTTTTTGTC